TGTGTGTGTGTGTGTGTGTGTGTGTGTGTCTGTCTGTCTGTCTGTCTGTCTGTCTTGGAGGTGGCTTCACATATCCACAGAGAGATCTGCCCCATTCTTTCAATAGCTTCATGGTGTCGCATAGTATAAATGGGTCATAATTTATTTATCCGGTTCCCTCTGGATGGCCATTTAATTTGTTTGGAAGTTTTACTAATAAATCTTCGCTAGCCTTATAACAACGGCATTTCACATAGTTCAGCCTGACACAAACAATGCTGCGGCGAATGTTTTATTTAACAAACACACGCTGAGTACCAGCACCGTGCTTTCGCGTTCTAATTAGTGATTTATCTCAGACTTGGCAAAAACCCTTTGAAGTAGGCATTCTTATTCTCACCCTCAACCCCATTTTGCAGATAAAGAAACTGAAGCACACGAAGCTTAGGTAACTTGCCCAAGGAGAGCCGGGCTGTTAACCCTGGGAGAGTCCACAGGAGGAGGCTGTGAGTGTGTGCCTCGCTGGCCCATGCCCTCCATTGTGTCCCCGCCTGCCTGTGTGACGGGGAGGGTAGATTCTCGGACGTGCTCTTGCAGGTCAAGAAGGTGCTTTGCAGCCCCTTAGGACTGGGGCTTAGAGTTAAATTCTGCTGTTGCCCAAAGGGCCAGGAGCTGACCAAGAGATGTCCTGCTGCATCTTGGTTGAGGGAACGTGACCCCCTAGCCACCCCCACCCCTTGCCAAGGAGGCAGCTGCAGCTGGTCAGAGCCCACAGTGGGCTCTTTGTCTTCAGTAGGAACCCTGAGGCCCCCGTGTCTCTCTCAAGGGCCCACTGTCCCAGTACCAGCAGGGCCTCCCAGAGCCAGGCCCAGCTGGGAAACGAGGCATGTTGGAGGCCCGCTGGCCACCCTGCCGACGGGGCACGCACGGCCCACTCCGGAATCACCCCACTGGAAAGACAGACTGGTGAGGCTGAGGCCCGTGTCTAAGGGGACGCGGCAGCCCAGTGGGGGCGAGTCGTGGGCCCCAGTCCTTGCACGGTTCACACACCCCACAGCCCTAGCTCCTGGCTCCTCCTGCACACACGCCCCCTGTGCCCCCTCAGGAGGCCCTCAGTGCTCAGGTCTCCACCTGAGGAGCCCTACAAGGGGTGGGCTTCCCACATTGCTCTAGGGTGACCTCTGCACCCTGCAGCCCTGTCAGAGCAGAAGGGGTCCAAGGCTGCCCCACTCCAGGAGAGCCAGACCCTTCTTAAGGCCGGTAACTGGGGGTGGGGTGAGTGAATTGGGTTTGCCCAGGACCCTGAGCTCTACAAAGAACTCTTGGGGGCTCCTCCATTCACCTGGATTTGTGGCAGAAAAGGGGTTCAGGGTGGGCAGATCCCCAGAAGAGAGTAACTGCCAGGAGAGGAGGTCCCGGCGTCTTCACGCCGTAAGTGTGAAATGGGGGCGCTGCAGTGCTGCCTACCCCCACCTGGGTGAGGCAAACTGGGAAGCCGGGTACCAGGCCAGTCACGTCCCGAGGAAGGTGGAGTGACCCAGCCCTGGCCCAGGGCCCCATCCTGCCGCCAGGTGCTCTGCCCTTGGGTGCCCTTCCTCCCTCATCCCCCTGCCTGTTTCCTGCATGTCCTTGAAGCAGAAAGCCCAAGGCTCTGGGACTCTCACTAGGTGCAGGGGATGGGAGAATAATCCGTCTCTGGGGGTGGGAGTGGGTGGGTGCGCAGCAATGGGTGTTGCTGGCTGGGGGTTGGTGAGTCCGGGGCCGGGGCCGGGGCCGGGAGACTTACTGTGAGGCAGAGCGCTGCTGTGAGCTGAGTGGCCAGGGCAGACAGGGAGTGTTTGCTGAGTGAGTGAGTGACCACCCAGGGCCTCTTTCAGAGGCTGCTGGGTGAATCTTCGAGAATGGAGCGGGTTGTCTCTACCCCTCCTCCTGCTCTCCGGGGCGGTGGGGAAGGTCTCCTGGGGGAGGGCACAGGGTGGGCAGCCAGGGCTGTTGGAGACTCTTCATCCCTTCACTCATTGCTCGCCTAAAGAGCAGGGGCTCTGACCTGGGCATGTACTGAACGTTTGCTGTGTGCCGGCCTGGCCTGAGCGCTACGACTGTAGACCGTACCTCATTACGTCACCGCAGGGGCCCCCGGAGGCCGGCGGGATTGGTCCTCTTTGCAGAGGAGAAGTTGGCGGTGCAGGGAGGGCCCTGCCCGCCGCGCAGGCCGGTTGTCCCTGGCTCCAAGCTCTCGGTCCGGCCCACCGGGAGCTCCCTCTCGTATGACCGGGGACCGATCTGCCCGCAGAGCCCAGGGGCTGGAGGGCGCCTGGAAGAGGGCGTGTCCCTCGAAGAGGGTCTGTCCCGGGTACCCCGGAGCCCCCGCCCCCCTTCCCAGCCGCGGCGGCCCCGC